TTGATGGAAGGAAGCACACGTTACCCTAGTAATTTGATTCCAAAACGTCTTGAACAATAATAAAAATAATAATTAATTAATTGTCACCATTCACCAATTAGACCTTGAAAATGAATTCAATCAATAAAAACAAATAATTATTTTTAATTACTTTTCAGGTGGGCAAAGAGTGGGATGAAGTTCATGTAAAATCTTGAGAGCCTTGGACATGGATATATAAATGAGTTAATAGATAGTATTCCTATTTTAATATGTATTTTTGTTACTTCCAAGCAATTAAATTCATAGATAATTGGAGTTTTTTAGACTTTAATACATCAATACACACTGGACTATATTTAAAACAAAATCAAATGTAGGTATGATTATTTTTCAACCCAAAAGCATCACTAGGTTGCTGGTATATGGATATAAACGCAACCTAGGTTATGAGTTAATAGATTAAAATACACATCACTATATTACCTAGTTTTTAGACTTTAATATTAAATTAAAAGGATAGTCTTGTTATATTAAAATACACATCACTATATTACCTACTTTTTAGACTTTAATATTACCTATATACATCAATACTTTTCTACCTATATCATTTTAATATGAAAAAAGACTATAGTTTAAATTAAAAGGATAGTCTTGTTATATTAAAATACACATCACTATATTACCTAGTTTTTAGACTTTAATATTACCTATATACATCAATACTTTTCTACCCGTATACTTAAAATATGGGTTCCTTGGTTTCTATTTTTGATAACGTTCCTTCTTTTTTCTGCCTAAAAAACTATAGTTTTTTAGACTTTAATACATCAATATCTATTAACTCATAACCTAGGTTGCGGTTATGGATATATACCGGCAACCTAGTGATGCTTTTGGGTTGAAAAATAATCATACCTACATTTGAAAACAAATCAAATGTAGGTATGATTATTTTTCAACCCAAAAGCATCACTAGGTTGCTGGTATATGGATATAACCGCAACCTAGGTTATGAGTTAATAGATTAAAATACACATCACTATATTACCTAGTTTTTAGACTTTAATATTACCTATATACATCAATACTTTTTCTACCCAACTCCAATTATCTATGAATTTAATTGCTTGGAAGTAACAAAAATACATATTAAAATAGGAATACTTTCAATTTTGTTGTTGGACACATTTTCATTTTGATAATCAGTTTTCTTGTTCCATTTAATATGTTTTTGTTTTATGTTAAAATTTATTGGAAATTAGTCAATGGAATATAACAATGAATTAGTGTGGTTTATATGATTTAATATATACTTTTATTTATAGAAAGGCTAATAAAAATGTAAGTACAAAAAAAATTTCATTAGATTTACCCTAAACACTTTAGCTAGCAACCCCCCTCGAAAAATTCATAGTTCCACTACACACACTACTACCCTCTGTTTGGATGAGAGAAAATAACTCGGAATTTAGCTAAAAATTGGGATTTTAAGAGGAGAAATTGACAATTCCCTTGTTTGGGAACTTAAGCATGTAATTTATTAAATGACATGCGGAAAAAATCATGGAAATTAGGGCATCAAATTCCCAGAGTTTAATTTCCACCAAAATAAGTGTCATTTCACAATTTTCATAGTGTCATTTACAAAATTATGTCATTTACAAAAATCGATATATATAAATTCAAACACTGAAATCTTCAATAGCCAAAAATTGAAATGATGGAAATCTAAATTCTGTTATTTTAGAATTATATGTAATTTTCAATTCTTTCTTCCAAACAAAGGGGGTATTATGGAGTTCAAACTTGAGACTATTACAGACTCCAATTATCTATGAATTTAATTGCTTGGAAGTAACAAAAATACATATTAAAATAGGAATACTTTCAATTTTGTTGTTGGCCACATTTTCATTTTAATAATTAGTTTTCTTGTTCCATTTAATATGTATTTGTTTTATGTTAAAATTTATTGGAAATTAGTCAATAGAATATAACAATGAATTAGTGTGGTTTATATGATTTAATATATACTTTTATTTATAGAAAGGCTAATAAAAATGTAAGTACAAAAAAAATTTCATTAGATTTACCCTAAACACTTTAGCTAGCAACCCCCCTCGAAAAATTCATAGTTCCACTACACACACTACTACCCTCTGTTTGGATGAGAGAAAATAACTCGGAATTTAGCTAAAAATTGGGATTTTAAGAGGAGAAATTGACAATTCCCTTGTTTGGGAACTTAAGCATGTAATTTATTAAATGACACGCGGAAAAAATCATGGAAATTAGGGCATCAAATTCCCGAGTTTAATTTCCACCAAAATAAGTGTCATTTCACAATTTTCATAGTGTCATTTACAAAAATCGACATATATAAATTCAAACACTGAAATCTTCAATAGCCAAAAATTGAAATGATGGAAATCTAAATTATGTTATTTTAGAATTATATGTAATTTTCAATTCTTTCTTCCAAATAAAGGGGGTATTATGGAGTTTGAACTTGAGACCATTACAATCAAGACTTTTTCACCAAACTAGACTGCTTCGGCTACTATGGTATTTGTTTTGAAGAGATGTCAAATTAAAAAATGAGAAGTAAAAAATGTTGACCGGAGAAAAAGAGAGATAAAAAAGGATAAAAAATGAAACAAATCCACCCAATAATCTAGAATCTTCTGACTTGTAGATGGCTTTCATGACTGACCAGTGGATGACGGTTGGATCAATATCAGAATATAGAAACGGTCGTCATCCTGAACTTTCTTTCACGGTCTGCTGACCCTACGATTAATATTAAAACTCAGACGTGACAAGGTCCTGTCCTCAAATCGAACGGCTGAAAATTCAAGACCACGAAACCTTATCATGCACCACCGAAGCCAAACGCACGCATTCGTCACTGCTCGCGACTTCACACCATCCAACATTCATCTCACAGTCCCTATAAAAGGATCACCCACTCTGCACACAGACAACATTGTGCACCAAATTCTCATTGCCCAAAAAGAAAAACAACACCGAACCTTCTGCAAGGCAAAGCACCAAAAATGGCTTACAAGTATGATTTCTCATATATTTTGGTCATTTTTGCATCTGGGTTTTTCTGAATTTGTGTTTTTGTTGTTGTTGTTGCTAAAATTACTACTGGTATTTTTTTGGGTCTTGCAGACATGAGGATCTTTCTCCACCGTTGGATTCCACTTCCAGCCCACCTCCTCTTTTTGATGGCACTACAAGGTTTAGCTCTTTCCTCTAATTTGTTTTTGCTGTTTTTTTGTTTTTTTTGTTTCTGTTCAGTTCACTGTGTTTGCTATGTGCTTTTTTAAGTGTTGACTTTGTATTTTGAAGGCTGTACGTATGTTACACCTGCCCATTTGCACAGCGGGTGTGGATCACCAGGAATTATAAGGTTGTTTATCTCCTCTGTTTTTGGAACTCTTGACAGGACCCTTATATCATCAAAGACCTCACTTTGTCTTTTTTGTTATACGTTTTCATTTGTTAGTTTGGATTTAATATGATAAAATGTGGAATTAATCAGAACCCATATCCAATATGTTGTCTTACTGTTTGTTTTGTGTTGAATTTTTGAGCTGCAGGGTTTGCAAGATAAGATCAAGTTAGTCCCTATAAATCTTCAAAATAGGCCTGCTTGGTACAAGGAAAAGGTCTATCCTGAGAATAAGGTGATATACTTGAACAAAGTTATGTTCCTTGTTATCATTGATTATCTGTGGAATATTTGTTGAAGCTGGAAAGATCTCTTGATTGATTATTTTATAGGTGCCATCACTGGAGCACAATGGAAAGGTCATTGGAGAGAGTCTTGATCTGATCAAATATATGGATAGTAACTTTGAAGGGCCTTCACTTTTCCCCACTGTAAGATATCTTTCCATAAGTCAACTTTGCCTCTGATAACCTATCTTTGTCTCTCAGAAATTTGACCAAAGTGGTTCTGTGAAATTGTTTTAGGACCCTGAGAGAAGAAAGTTTGGTGAAGAACTAATAACCTACACCGATACCTTCACTAGGGCCTTGTATTCTTCATTCAAAGGAGACGCAGTGAAAGAAGCCGGTAAGACTTGGAAGTTTTTCCCATTAGGGTGACTGTTTTTGTTAATAAATTTAAACTGACCAAAATTCGTTATCTGCATTAGATGCTCAGTTTGATTACTTGGAGAATGCTCTTAAAAAGTTTGATGATGGGCCATTCTTTCTGGGTCAGTTCAGTTTGGTAAGTTGGATATTGAATTATGTACATGCCAATTGTTATTTTTAGATGCTTTTTTAGCAATATGATAATACATAAAGTATTGAAGTAATGGATAATATGCGATCTTCAGGTGGACATAGCCTATATCCCATTTGTTGAGAGATTACAAGTCTTCTTATCAGAGGTGTTCAAGTATGACATCACAGCAGGCAGGCCTAAACTAGCAGCATGGTTGGAGGTACACAAAAAAAACCATAGAATTTTATTTAGAAAGTTATGAATTCTGGTGTCCAAGCTTTAACTCTGTAAGAACAATAGTCTCTCGCCTGTTAAAAAGAGGAACTCGAATAGTTTCTTTGAAGTAGCTTACAGAAACATCCCATGAGACTGAGCAACAAGATTGAGTTTGGCTAACTAGTTCGTATATATCACAGTTTTAGGTAATGGATGGTGAAAATTTTATTATGTCCTTGTGCAGGAAATCAACAAGATTGAAGCTTATAAGGTGACCAAAACTGATCCAAAGGAACTTGTTGAATTCTACAAGAAGCGCTTCTTGGTACATTCCCTTTGGCTGACCTGAATATGAAATTCATGGTCTTTCTTTCCGTCTCTGTTTCTATATTGGTCATGCTGTCTGTCTGCTAACCTATATGAAATATGTTTCCATTGCAGGACCAACAGTAAAACTTGTATACTTCTGCCTTGGACATGATATAAATAAGTGGCTGGCTCAGTCCTCGTACAGAATGCTTGCCGGCCTAATTATGTATGCATATGTGTAGTGTTGTTATGGATATGGACTTTGTCCGGATCTTAATATGTAATAGTGTCTTGGTTATCTAATTATGTATGCATATGTGTAGTGTTGTTATGGATATGGACTTTGTATGGATCTTAATATGTAATAGTGTCTTGGTTACATCAATAAAATTCAGGGCATTTGGTACCGTGAATTAATTTATACGTCCATGTCAATTATGTGTTTCTTTCCTAAAAATTAACGAAAGAGACTTCCTTTGCCAACATAGTGCTGTAAATGGAAAGAGTCTACCAAAGACAAATTGTGTTGTCTTAAAATTTGATCTTACAAAAGTAACCGCAGCACATGTATGTACAATACAACCAATGGATTTTTTTAATTTCTGGCATGAGTAAATTATCATGATTCACACTTTTTATTGGGTATAAGAGCCTCGTGGCATGTTTGCTTACACGAAATGTGACTTATCCTTGTAAACAGATGAGGAAGAATTGAGAAGAAGGAGAAGAGTCAAAGAATCAGAGAGAGAAAATGAGTATTATCTGAAAATGGCATTAAAGTGCTGACGAACTTGATTCGTAAATCAGTGGTTTCTAGTTCGAACTCTATGACACTTTTGTAGTGTGTGTGTGAGAGAAATTCCCTCGTAATTTAGACCATCGTTTGTATTAAAAAATAAACACATAGCATTAAGTTATTATTGTCTATTTATCTTCTTTTTTATTGGTAAATACTTTTATATTTATCTAGATTTTTTATAGTACAAGCGACAGTCTAACATTAACAAGTTCCAGAGACGAAAAAAAAGGGAGAAACATACAAAGATGCACTATTTTCTAGACTTGGCCACCACCAGACAGAGTCATCACAGGGGTCATATCACTTTGATAAAACTGACGCTTGAGCTGTGACATGTGAGGTGGAGGTGGAGGTGGCGGAGGAAGTGGTATGATTTGAGCATCTTCGTCATCCAAATTAACTAACAAAACCAAAACAAACAAAGAAAAACCACAAATGTGAAGCTCTCATTCTGCCGCACAACACAAGCTGTTTGCAATTATAAGTCTCTCAATATACTAACTCTTGGTAATATAAGCTTGAGTCATATACCACTAGTTGATCCTTACCTGCATCTTCATTTTCGTCAAGGACATACATAAATTTGTCTTAAAATATCAGCGTTTAATGTGCTTCCACCCGAATCATAACTGCGGCAGTGGAAATCATCTTGCTCCTACTCACGATCTCTGCTACAACTTTTGATCGCATTGTTTTGCAATTAAGAACAATGACCATTTTCTTCAAATTTTGAGCATGCTCGAGGATATACCTTGCAAACTCGATTTCGTTAGATCCGTTGTCCGAATACTCTATGGTTACCTCCTTAAGGTGATGAAGGAAAGCAAGGTTTTGCAGTTTCCAGTATTCCATACAAAAAGCAGGGTTTTGCAGCCACTTGACTGAAAATATACAAAAAGCGACAAGCATACAAGCAAATTAATTTTAAATTAACAATAAAGAAAAAGCTTACCAACAAAGTATGTGTGTGCGTGAGAGGGAGATCAGTAGGCAACATACTTCACTTGTTTCGGCATCTATCCATGTCCCGGCCCTCCTTATGCACAAGATATTCAAATTAGGCATTCCTCTAAGAAAAATTGGTGCTCCCATGGAACCTTCCTGGAACATAGCTTGCGAGTTTTTCATGAAAAATTCTTAGTTTGAAAGAGGACAGGAACTTGTGCGTCTACAATTGTTTTTCAAATATTTTACCTTGATGGTCTCCTTGCTTATAATAACAACTTTTGGGCAGCTTATGTTGCAAAGAACCTCAATCACTGTGTCAAATTTGTTGGCAAGATATATCCTATTCTATTAGGGTTTTATTTATTTTTTCCTTTTGTATAGATATTATGTAATTAGGATTCCACTTATTTCCTAATTCAACCCTACTAGGGTTTGTAACCTTGTATTATAAATACCTCATTTCGGAGAATGAAATACGATTACTAGTCGTCATATGGCAAGTTGGATCAATGGGAAGAAGCCTGCTCCGTCTCTAGATTCCGATGCCTATGCCGAATGGGAAGAAGATAATTGTCCAGTGCAGTCATGGCTTCTCAATTCCATGACTAAACCAGTTCGTGCCTTGTTTGAACATGGTGATACTGCCTTTGATATATGGGAGGCTGCTCGGAAGACCTATACTTTGACTCAGAATAATTCTCGTTTGTTTCAACTCCGACGGCAGTCCATACTTACAGGTCAAAATGGTGAATCTGTGAAAATGTTCTATGAAAAACTCCATGCTATCTAGCAAGAGATTGATTGTCTACGTCCGTATGAGTTTAGCTGTTCTACTGATAGGGCTCGTCGTCTGAAAAAGATTGAAGCCGATCGAGTTTATGATTTTCATGGCGGACTTGATCCACCGTATGATGGTGTCCGTAGCCATATTCTTGCTCTTAGTTCTGCCCTGCTCTCATGGAAAATGGGATTGGCTGCTATATGCAAGGCTGCTTTGTTATCACAATGTAGCAACGTCGGTTTCGGATGCAATATTCGTAAATCCTTCAACAATGAATGTAACCAAGATAACTCACAACATGTACCTGTCATGGCTCTATATTCGGCTTCTACTGAAGAGAGGGACACTGTTTTTTGCCTCTTTGTTCGCCAAGAAATAAGTGAAGATCCTAAAAAAAACACAATAACTCGTAGTGGATCTACGAGTCATTGGACAGCCAGCTCGATTCGAATCATAAAAAGCTCGCAAAGACAAATCATTTTGAGAAGAGAAAAACAAACCCTGTCCTGGAGCACCTTTCAAATAATGCAACACACGCAAGGCAGCTTCCATATGTGGTTTGCGTGGTGCATGCATGAATCGGCTTAATACATGTACCAAATACATGATATCCGGCCGAGTAATAGTTAAATAAATTAGGCGTCCCACAAGTCGCCTATATTGAGATGGATCTCTAAGCAATTCGCCTACATCTGAGAGCTTTATGTTTTGCTCCATGGGAAAGTTCAAAGGTTTAGCACCCAAAATTCCACCATCCCATTGCAATTTGTTATCTGTTGGGCGTTTACTTGATACACTTAACGCGTCTGCTACCTTCTATTCTACCCATTGTTTTTTTTTTCAGGATCTCAGGACTCACGAGAAGATTGGGCATGGTAAAAGGATAAGGGGGTTGTATTACTTACAGTTGCCGGCTGCAGCAGTTCGTGGTTGTGTCGCTAATAAAGCTCCGAGTGGCAGTATCAAAGACAAGCAACAATTTTGGTTATGGTATCGTCGCTTAGAACATCCGTCATTTGGTTATCTTAGACATTTGTTTCCTTCGTTATTTAGTTCGTGTGATGAGTCTAGTTTCAAATA